TTTTTCCTTCCTGTTTGCAAAATATAAACCATAGTTGTACTTTCAAAAAAACCTATATTAGTTAGGATGACTACAGCTAACTGTGTAATACACAAAATCAAAACCTAGATGTTTAATAGAACTCATGTACATGAGGGGCACCTGGGGTGGCACAGTGGGTTAAGTTTCTGACTCCTAGTTTTGGCTCAGGTCGTGATCTCAGGATTCTGGGATCAAGCACCACATCAACTCCCTTCCTATACTCTCACACTCTCTCAAATAAAGAAATAAATCTTGAAAATAAAAAAAAATGCACATGAAACCCAACCAGGTATTTCTGGTTGTTAGCCTTCTACATGGTCATTTAAATACCCAGGTTCCTTTTATTTGGTGGCTCTATGCTCTTCTGGATCCTTAGAGTCCTCTCCATTCACCCCTCAAAAGGAGAAAAGAAGCATGGGGTGATATAATTACTTTTTAATTTTTTTAGTCCAAAACTGACATACATCACTTGTGCTTAATTTTCATTTATCAAAATGTGGTGACATCTAATTGTAATAAAGGCTGGAAAATGTAATCTAACTATGCCTAGAAAGATAAGAAATGGTTTGTGCAAATACATAGAAGTCTGATACGAATTGATTTGAAACTAACAATAATTGTTCTACTTAAGAAAGTGATAGTAGAGCATGGCCTGCTGAACACTCTGTCATGTCCTTTTTGCGTCCTTTATAGGATATATGTCACAACCTTCTCAACTGTGTACGATTCTGAGCCAGTGGTGTCCTGGTATTTGAACACAAACATACCTAAACACTAACCTTGACCCTTCTTATACTTAAATTCAGAAGTCTCAGGTTTTTCTTTTCCTTTTTTTTTTATTGACATCTTTTTTTTTTTCAGTGTTCCAAGATTCATTGCTTATGTACCACACCCAGTACTCCATGCAATACGTGGGTATTAAGGAGGGCACATATTGCAAGTCTCAGATTTTTCTAATGCTTCCACTAATGTTGTGAGGGGCTTGCTATTTGGCGTTGATAGTAACAAATGGGATGAACTTCATTTGTAGGTAGGTTAGGTAGTAGTATGGGGTAGTATAGAGTAGAAAGGGGAGAGAAGAGAGCACACAAAACTCTGTCTTAAAACTAAGGGCTTGATATTGCCCTATCTAAAATAGATAAAGGAAGTAGCTCGTAAGTTTTTTCACCTTCATGCCTCATGCAATGTCTCAGTGAGTAAATGGGGTAAGCATTCCAGAGATAGCTCTGAACACAGGGTCATTCAGGGACTCATAGTCCTACAAACAAGTTGTTTGCAATCCTCCCAGGCCTTGACATCATTTGCATAATATCAGCTGAGTTACTTGGGCTCCACCTATGCAAAAGGGTAAAGAGAATGTGGAAGAAGCACCCTCACTGTCTTAAGATATCAACAGGCAAGTGGCATTTATCACATTTTTCTGTTCACATTCCATTGTGAGAACTGTCTTTTGGCCATATATATCCAACAGCAAGGAGATCTGAGAACTACAGTACAGGTGGGCAGCCACCTTTTACTGTGGAACAAGGCAAGAATGCATCTTAGAGGTAGGTAGTCCTTGCCACAGGATTCATACAACCAAGTAATAATTAGAATGATACTGGGGTGCTTGGTGGCTCAGTCCATTAAGTGTCCAACTCTTAATTTTGGCTCAGGTCATGATCTCAGGATCATGAGATTGAGCCCAGTGTTGGGCTCTCTGCTGGGTGTGGAGCCTACTTTGGATTTTTTTTTCTCTCTCTCTATCTCTCTGCCTCTCCCCCTCCCCCAGTGCTCTTTCTCTATCTCTCTCTCTAAAAAGAAAGAACAGAATGATATTTTATTGCAAGGCAAAAGAGAAGCATAGTAAGTTTCGATTTTTCATGTTTGTTATTATTTTACACTGCTGTGTAAAGCATTCAAAAGATATAATTAGATGTTTTTCAAATTTATACCCTAATTTCTTATAAGATTTAGATAAATAAGAAAAGAATAATTTGCCATATTGCTTTCATTTTCATGACATCATGTCATTTGTACATTTACTGTGCCTCTGTGGATACCAGTCATTGTGCTAGACCCTGAGGATATAAAGACTGCTAATATATATAGCCCATATTCTCAAGAGCCCACAACTACTGATAGAAATGATCAAGTTTCTCTATTGTTTTTTAAGTGCTGAATGCTATGCTCAGCACTGACCTAGAGGTATCTGCACAACTCAGCATGGGTATAGAGAAGGTTCAAAGGGAATGGTTGCAGAGCACACAGAGCCAAATCTGAAAACAAGAGTAGGAGTTGGTCAAATGGACACAAATAGGGAAGAACACTATAAACCAATGAAATAGTGTGGGCAGAGCTAAGAAAGTCACACAACAGCTCACCTGTGAAAACTGTTAGTGAGGTAGCCTGGAGTCTAGGGTACAAGTTGGGGCAGAGAGAGTTTGACACAGGCAGAGTCATTAGGAGCCTTGCATCCTGAGCTGGTAGTCGGGATTTTTCTGTAGGTGGTGTGGTTCCTTGATACCCAGACATGGCCAAACCTTGTTTTCAAAAAAGCATTATCTACATAGATAGATTGGAATCTAAGGACTTCAGAATGCTGGCAGTAAGGTTAAACCTTCTGATACTTTGAGAAAAAGATATTTTAGACCAAATTCTTGTGGAAAGAATTCCATATAGTAGAAAATCTTGCCAAACCCTTAGGAACTTTAAGTCTTTTGAGAATTGACCCATGAAAGAAATAACTTTTTTTTATTGTGTTGTTAGTCAACATACATCATTAGTTTTTGATGTAATATTCCAAGATTCATTGTTTACGTATAACACCCAGTGCTCCATGTGATACGTGCTCTCCTTAATACCACCACCAGGCTCACCCATCCCCTCACTCCCCTCCCCTCTAAAACCCTCAGTTTGTTTCTTGGAGTCCACAGTCTCTTGTGGTTTGTCTCCACCTCCAACCGCCCCCCCTTCATTTTTCCTTTTCTTCTCCTAATGTCCTCCATGTTATTCCTTATGCTCTACAGGTAAGTGAAACCATATAATTGACTTCCTCTGTTTGACTTATTTCACTCAGCATAATCTCCTCCACTCCCATCCATGATGATGCAAAAATTGGGTATTTGTCCTTTTTGATGGCTGAGTAATATTCCCTTGTCTGAGTAATATTCCATTTTCTTCTTTATCCATTCATCTGTTGAAGGGTATCTTGGCTCTTCCCACAGCAAGAAATAACTTTTTAATCAAACTTATAGTACTGAGTGGTTTAGTGGTAGAAGACAATTATATATATTAATGTAAAGCCATCTTCAAAGGAGACAAGAAGGAAAATGTGAATTTGTGATGTAAGGCAGCATATAACTAGACACATTCAAAGTGCAGTGGGCTCCCAGGGCTGTGAGTATTTAAGCAAGGGAATTTAAATCATGAAATAATAAGGGTGTGGGATTGAATATTTGCCTTGAAAGGAGACAGTCTATATTGGATTATATCCTCACTCATGGTTAGAGATAACATCAGATTCTTCCTCAAATGCAAAACACAAGACAATAGCATTGTACAAGCAACTAATTTCTTCCCATCCTCCCAAGTCCTGGAAGGGAGGAAGATGAGTATTAGCCACAAAAGGGAATTATTGGTTAGAACTTCTCTCTCCTTCATGTAGGATTCAGCACCCACTAGGGAAAAGAAAGGTGGTGGAATGTTTCTGACAGCCACTGGTCTGTCTTAGAAGTCAGTTCCTTCAAATGAGACCCACAGGTGGGTTGGTAGGGCTTGCTGGGAGCATCAGCAGTCAGTGAGACAGACAGGATGCTTCTCCTATGGCCTGAGGCTGTCCCAGAATGGTCCCCCTCAGGCTTCTCTGAGGTCACAGGCTACAGTCCTGACTTTTCATGAAGAATAGCCACACATTCAAGGACTAGCTGCTTTGTCTCTTTAAGGCCAGGGGAGACTCTGGAGACAAAAAAGAAAGTCTTTAGAAAGCACCATTTTCTCAAGGGGCCAGAGAACCTCATATAATAATTGTCCCGGGGGCCCATGCAAAGACAATTGGTAAGGCAGAAAGTTAACATAGCAGGCCTGCTTTCGAAAATCCTGCCTACCAGATCGGCCCTGGACTCTTGCCTCTGTAAGTCTAAGTACCATAGCAAGGCCCAGGAGAGATGGATCTACCAGTTCTGTCTCCTGGGTGTTTCTGTGTTATCTTTTGTTGCAGTCATCCTCAAAGTTTGAGTGTGCATGTATGTGCATATGTTGTGCGTCCTATCGTTTGGTTTGTGACTTCCAAGACAGCAAGGTTATGTCTTGATTATTTTTTCCCTTCTGTCATTTGTATAATAATTGAACTGTAGAAAGTTACTTTGGCTGAATGAGGATAAACTTCCATATTTCCCTGGGTAGGAAAACCAGCTACGCCATACCTCATTTAAAAAAAAGGATCTTAACAAAATTTGCACACTTTTTCCTTTAATGTGACAAAAAAAGACATAGTTTGGGAAAAAGATTAAAATAATAAAATTATTTCTTTCAATGAAATAGTAAAATATGTTTTATATAGATATTTGTTGGGAAGAAGATTTGGGAGACAATCTCTGCTAGTCAAATACATGTAAACTGCTAAGTTTTATTTTGGTCTTTCTGCCCTTACCACCCCCTCACTTTTAAAAATAAATATTCTATCAATGAGAAAGATGTTGGTAACCGAGTTTTCTGTATTTGTATATCCCAGGAGCTTTGTTATTGTAAGTCTTTTCTGCCTCAACTTGCAAATCAGCTTAATTTAATTCTAAATGAAATCTCTAATTTTTCATTATGTTTGACACAAGCTTAGTAATTCTCTGAAAAGGTCCTTGTTAAATGAAGCTTAGCTAGAAATTCTGATATTCAGGGATGCTTACACAAACAACTGTCATTCTCTGCAATGAGTTCCTTATTCAGTGACAGTTAACAGCATTGTTTTATTTAAAAATGTCTTTGTGTTTCTCTTCTTGTTCCAGCGACAGTTTTCCTGGAGTTCTGGAAAAGACGGCGAGCTGTAATTGCTTATGACTGGGATCTGATCGACTGGGAAGAAGAGGAGGTTTGTATTATTTACCTCAGAATTTTCAAAAAGCAAATCAACAAATACACAGTCCTCTTGAGTTATCACTCTGCTCTGTGACAGAAGTCAGGTTTACTCATAAAGCATTTCAATACCTGTCTTTGCAAAAAACTTCAGGTAGTATAAAAAAGAACAGACTATAAAAGAAAGAAGAGACAACATTGTGATCGCTTAGTAGATTAAGATTCCGTGGCCAAGTAAAGCATTTCACTTGTAGGTGGAGACATCAGAAGCATTAGTAGTAAGATTTGTTTAGTTTTCTTAAATAGTGTTCTTTACTTTAACAGGAAAGTATTAGTCTTACAGCTCTAGGTATATGGAAGGAAACGTCATGAGAGAATTCCAGGGAGATGTTTCTGCGAGCTGTCCAGAATCCTGGACAGTGCTCAGAGTGGCAAAGGCTCAAATGCATGACCTCAAGTCCTTAAATACTGAGGAGAAACTTCTCCTCAAATGTCCTCCATGGTGGAAGGGTCTAAATGCCCCTTATTCTAGCCTGTGGTACTCAGATTGCTGTGCAGAAAAGCCCAAGCTTGCTACAAGCCTTCTTCATGGAAAACCCAGGGTATTAGGCTGCTGGGGCTGCCATAACAAAGGACCACAGACTGGGTGCCTTAAACAACAGAAATTAGTTGCTCACGTTTCTGGAGGCTGGAAGTCTGAGATCAAGGCATTGGCACAGTTGGTTTCTTCTAAGGGCTGTGAGGGCAGGATCTGTTGCAGGCTCCTCTCCTTGGCTTGTAGACAGCTGTCTGCTCCCTCTGTGTTCTATCATCATTTCTCTGTGCATGTCCATGTCTAAATTTTTTATAAAAAGCCAGTCATATTAGGGGTCACTCTAATGACTTCATTTGACCTTAATTACCTCTGTAGAGACTGTCCAAATCAGTCACACTCTGAGGTAATGTGGCTTAGGACTTCAACAAATGAATTTGTAGGGGGAGGGGAGACACAATTTAGCCCTTAACACACAGAAACATAGGTCTAGCTCCTGATTCACCACAAATCCCTGGATAATTAACTCAGTGACTCTTAGATGACACTCATAGCCTGATAACTTCAGAGTTTCCTAAAGAAACAGAAGATTCCGGGTCCTATTCTGTTTATATCTTCAAGTGTCACTTCCTAAAATAAGTGAAAGAAAGCAGAACCTGTTTATTACTGTATCTCCCCTCTGTCCTTCCCCATTACCTGTCACTAAGTGAAGTCCAGCCTTGGGCTTATTCTGCAGCAGGAGTGAGGCTGCCCTTCCTTCTACACACACAGGCTACTGCCAAACTGTGCCCATTGTCCGGAACCTGTTTTCTGTCAGCTTCTTCACTTTCTGTCAGTGTCTCCATCTGAGTCCTGAGTTTCTGCCTGGGTTAACTTAATCTCCATTTCACCAGACTTTCTTCTCATTTTCCCTCCTCTTGCAATATATTCATGTAGAATAGGTACTTAATTAACCAGAACCAGTTTAGCATACCCTCTTGCTGATTTCCTGTTTCTAATCCCATAATTGCCTTTTAGTCAGAAGCTTTTCACATTAGATGGAGCTCAACGAAATGAAACAAAGCCTCAGCTTGATTTAGAATTAGAGCTGCCTTGATTTTAGCTGGATTTGAAAGATGTTTACCTTGTTTTCAATAATGAGTAGTACATTTAAAATCTACTGGATAAAAGTGAATGACTCTTACAGGAGCTTATTAAAAAGTAGATTCACCATATTTTTGGCTGCCTCAATTAAAAAAATTTAATTGTAGGAGAAAACTAAGAATTATATTTGTCATTATAACTCACAACATGAATTCTAGACATTTTGCTGTTCAGAAACTTTCTTTGCCCTTTACATTCCCTGGTAATAAAGTAAAAGTTTAGCAGTTATTTCAAACTGCTTGGAATAGTAGAGTCGGTCCCTTTTCTCATTCTATTTGTTTCTTTAAGCACAGTTTAATAATATAACATAGACACTTAACTACTAGTCTAAATTACACTGCCTTGGTGATAATAAGTCTGAATCATTACCCTTTAGATTTTCTTCAAGTTGCCAATGCCCAGACATTTAAACCTGGGTCTCTGAGCCCACCTCACTGATTGATTAGTGTGGTAGCTGTTGATTCAGTTTTATAATAGAGTAAAAAATGTCTTTTTTATTGTGTGTATGTATTTCACCAGTGCTTAAAAAAAAATGTGTCTGTCTGTTCTTTAGGAAGAAATACGGCCCCAGTTCGAAGCGAAGTACTCCAAGAAAGAGCGAATGAATCCTATTTCAGGAAAGCCAGAACCATATCAAGCATTTGCAGATAAATGCAGCCGACTTATTGTTTCTGCATCTGGGATATTTTTTATGGTTTGAAACTTTTCTACAAAACTCTTTGTTTCATAAAGTACAAACTTGTAGCACGGTATCAACAATAATCATATCGGGTATTTACATAATTTTACAAAACATTTTTACACATTCTGTTATTTACTCCTCACAAAGACTTTCTGAGATGGTCAGAGATAGTACCACTGTCCCGTGTTCCAAATGGAGCCACTGAGACTTTAGAAGGCTAAGGGCCTTGTTCAGGATGAGCCAGGAAACAGCGAAGAGCTCCAGTTCTTTCTGCTTGCCTCTCTGTGCCTTGCTGAAAGGAAGTAAGAGTTGAGATAGGACCTGCAGCAGTGTTTTACGAACCTTTTGCTCACCATGCCCATCTAAGAAGTACATTCTCTGTCATAACCCAGTGCCAGGAGATGTATAAAACTAAACAGAGTAACTGAAACAATGCTCATCTTTGCAATATGCAATACTCTTTTTGTTTGCTTGTTTTATTGTAGTCTATTTTTTTTAATGCCAACCATAACCTCCTAAAATTGATTTCTAGATTCACTAATGGTTATGTCAGTTTGGAAAACACTACCTTGAACCTGGGTTGTTGGCTTTTCCTAAAAAGAGGTCTTTTGGTGATCAACTTTGACCCTGTTAACCACCGAACAAAACTTATGCAAATTTTTCAGAAATGTCATTTTTTGAACCTTATATGGTGGTTACGATTCTCCTTTCCTGTTTTCAAATTGTGAGTGTGTAAACAGGTGTTGTAGATCAATAGATTATGAAGGATAAGATGGTAGTAAATCTAGACACCTAACCCACCCTTTAGCCAAAGAAACTGGAGAGATGAAAGGGTAGGCAGCATGCCCAATCTTGATTCAGACCAAGATTCAAATCCACACCTTTCTATAGACACTGCTCTGTAAGCAATTATGTCATGCTTCGACTTTCATAAGTATTCACATTTATTGTCTTGCTTTTTGTTTTTTTATAAGACCTGTAGATGTAGAGTGAGCTTTTCTTACTCTGCAGATGGGCAACCTAGAGCAAAGGAAGCCAAACCCACAAACTATGTGTCCACAGTCACAGTGCTAGGTAGAAGCTGAGCCATGACCCAGACCTGACTTCTGAGTCCAGTGAGCTGTCCATTCCACCACATTGCCACCCTGTCTGAAAGTCAGTGTAGATTTCACCAATCTCCCCATCATTAGCTCAAGGATTAAGATGTAGGCAATTGTTGTTGTTGTTGTTGTTGTAATTTTTGCCAGTTCCAGCTCAAGCTTTATACTCAAGCTTTTAGAGCATGTCAGTCATAGAAAGCCAAAAACCGTTGGTGTAAAACAGAAGAATGCTTCTAGAAATCTCTAAGTCAGCAGAGCGCATGCTGGTTCTCAGCTTGGTTTTTGATAACTAGGTAAAGGTCTTTACTCTGATATAGTGAGTCATTTAATGAAAGACACAAACATGTTGGAGTCTCATATTGCCAGTAGATAGAAGACATGTTGAGTTCTCATCACATACCATGAAATCTTCAGAGAAAGATAGCTCAGTTCAATGTCCATAATTGATTAATAAGAGATTATGTACCTATCACAGAGTTGGCTTATTCAGCAACAAATAGCTGAACATTTACTATGCACCTGTAATTATGCTAAGGCACTATAGAAACTATGGTGAGCAAAAGAGATACCATACCAGCCCTGATGGAGCTTATAGTGCCCCCCACCTTTATCTGAAGTTTTGCTATCTCGTGTTTTAGTACCTGCAGTCAGCCCCAGGCTGGAAGCAGACAATCCTTCTGACATATCATCAGAAAATCAGTAGTAGCCTAATGCTATATCACAGCACCATGCCATCTGCCTCACTTCATCTCATCATGCAGGCAATTTACCATCTCACATCATCACAAGGAGAGTGAGTACAATACAATGAGATATTTTGAGAGGGAGAGAGACCATATTCACATAGTCTTTCTATCATATTGTTGTTCTGTTTTATCATTAGTTACTGTTGTTAGTCTCTTACTGTGCCCAATTTGCAAATTAAACTTTCTCATAGCTATTTGTCTATAGGAAAAACCATAGTATATGTAGGGTTTGATAGTATCCAAGGTATCAGGTATCACTGGGGACCTTAGAAATATCCCCCATAGAAAAGGGGGAGGGTCAACTATACTTTCTAAATGGGGGAAACTGGCAACAATCAAACTGAAAAATTGTTAGAAATTATAAATTGGATACTAAAAGAAGAATACAGGTATCATATAGCAATAACAAAGTCTGAGGGTTATTAAAGCTTTAGTTATGAAGTGGTTCTTGAGGTGTGAAAGAAGAGTAGGTGTTAACTAGGCTCTGTGTGTGTGTGTATGCACACGTGCATACTCACGTATGTGTGTGTTTGGCATGGGAATGGGGGGTGGTCAGCCTTTTAGGCAAAGGAAATGGTCTTGAAGATTAGCGCATTTGAAGCCATGAGAGAGGTTCTTGAGTCCTCAGACTAAAAGGAAAATGTCATTCCACAAGGTGGAGAAAGTCTTGCCACCATTAAGACTTTGCTTTTATCCTAAGAATAAAAGAAACCAACAGAATTTTACACAGAAGAGTGACATCATAAGATTTCCATAATAATAATGCTCAGTCTAATACCCTGCTTCAAAAAATGTTACCCCATAGCTTACACAGTTTATCAGCTTTCAAGCACTATGGTTGTTCTATTTGAATAACAATGAAAATACAGGCAAGAGAAAGTATTAATCACAATGAAAAGTTAGCATTTTATTGTGGTTTCTTGAGTCAGTTCCGCTGTTGGTTTATTTCCTTTTCTTGTTTTCCAATGGTGGAATTTTACAGTGGTGGGGACCCTCCTCCTGGGACATTCCATCAGGGTGCTCACCGGCTTTCCATCTTCCTCCCAGATCTGTGTGGTGATCGCTGCCGTGTTTGGGATCGTCATTTACCGGGTGGTGACTGTCAGCACTTTTGCTGCCTTTAAGTGGGCGTTAATCAGGAATAACTCTCAGGTGGCAACCACAGGGACTGCTGTGTGCATCAACTTCTGCATCATTATGCTGCTGAATGTGGTAAGTGAACTATAAGGTAACTAGCCTGATGGGTAAACTATGTGGGCTGTGGTTTTCTTCTGTTGCTAAAGGGACCCAACCTTGGAGGGGTGAGTCTGTCATGCAGCATTGATGGCTGGGCAGCAAACTGCCTAGCAGGACATGCACTCAGGTTCTGGGGATTGAGAAGGCTTGAGTCAAATCTAGGCTCCAGGACTTTCTACAGTGGAAGGCACTAGCTTTCTCTGAATCTTAGTTTCCTTATTTAACCAGTAAGATAACAGTGTGTATGTACCCCTTGGGGAAACATAGAGAAAGAACATATTTTAAAGGCCCAACCTAGAATCTGTGACATAGTTCAACAGTGTTAGTTCCCATTTCTTTTTGATTCTGAATGTTAGGAAAGTGGTCAGTACCCAAAGCATTGTTTGAGATAATCTTATAAGGCACACATCAGGATGGAACCTGTTGCTTGTGTTAATTTCAGGTTATTTTCAGTTATATTTCAGCCCAGGTGTCTCCCCTGAACCCCATACATCCGGCTGACTACTCCACCATCCGCATCCAAACCCTTCTCTCCCCTCCAGAATCTGTTCCTCCACAGCTCCCTCCCGTTAGTAACTGCTCAGGCTGAAAACCTTGGCATTACCCTTGACTCCTCTGTTTTTCTCAGTGTCTGTTTCCAGAGTTTGATCACTTCTCACATGTCCCCAAGTCCCACCCTGGTCCAAGAGCCCAGTAGCTCCCGCCTGGGTTATTGCATTGCCTCCTACCTGGTCTCGGGGCTGCCGCATCTGCTCCCTCAATGTAGACTCATCACAGCAGCTAGTGCAAGCTGCTTACGGTGAGCAAGCCCCTGTCCCAGTTCGCTCATCATGTCCTGTGGCTTTCCTCTTGCTCAGAATAAAAGTTCACATCTTCATGTGGCCTCCAGGCCTCTCCTTCTGGCACCAGTGACATCTCTGATCTTGTCTCCTACCTACTCACCCTATTTCTCCTGCTCCAGGCTGGCCTTCCCTTTGTTCCCTGGATGTGTCAAGCATGCTCTCACTCTAGGGACTTTTACTTGCTCTTCTCTCTGCCTGGAATATTCCTCCCCACGGGGTCTGCATGGCTTCCTCCCTCACGTCCTTCATTTCTTTGTTCAGAGGTTACTTTTCTAATATAAGATTTCTGTGGTCACTCAGGTTTAGAATCGTAACTGCCTCCTGCCATTTAACAACTTCCTGTCCCTTTGCCTGCTCTATTTTTCCCTGTGGTATTTATTACCATGTAATATGCTGTTTTTAGTTTATTTTATTATCTGTATTCCCCATTGGAATGTAGATCCATTAGGGCAGAAACTTTTATCTATTTGTTTTTTACTTGTTATTTCCCAGTGTCTGGAATGGGATCTAGCACATAGTAGACTCTCAGTAAATTGTTTTTATTTGCAGAACAAATAGTATTATTTGCTGACATTGTTAGATTTGAGGTGAACCTATGCATAAAAATACTGACATTAGAGATTTGTAGCAGGGAATAAATAAGATAATATATGTGGAGTGATAGACATGAAGTAGCTGTGGTTCCCTCACACTTAGTTATGTAGCATCTTAAATCTGGGCCATAATGCTGAAATTCTCTCATCATTAGAAAAGGGTGTTCCAAAGGCTAAGTAATTTAATGTTGTTATCAATATAGTTTAATCGGTTTGGATTATCATTCCTAGCTCCTTAAATAATCCTAAATTCTATAACCAACAAACTCAGAGTGATTCTTTTTTTTAAATTTATTTTAAAATTATTTTTATAAACATATATTTTTATCCCCAGGGGTACAGGTCTGTGAATCACCAGGTTTACACACTTCACAGCACTCACCATAGCACATACCCTCCCTAATGTCCATAACCCCACCCCCCTTCTCCCAACCCCCCTCCCCCCAGCAACCCTCAGTTTGTTTTGTGAGATTAAGACTCACTTAAGGTTTGTCTCCCTCCCAATCCCATCTTGTTTCATTTACTCTTCTCCTACCCCCTTAACCCCCCATGTTGCATCTCCACTTCCTCATATCAGGGAGATCATATGATAGTCGTCTTCCTCTGATTGACTTATTTCACTAAGCATAATACCCTCTAGTTCCATCCACGTCATCGCAAATGGCAAGATTTCATTTCTTTTGATGGCTGCATAGTATTCCATTGTGTATATATACCACCTCTTCTTTATCCATTCATCTGTTGATGGACATCTAGGTTCTTTCCATAGTTTGGCTATTGTAGACATTGCTGCTATAAACATTCGGGTGCACGTGCCCCTTCGGATCACTACGTTTGTATCTTTAGGGTAAATACCCAGTAGTGCAATTGCTGGGTCATAGGGTAGTTCTATTTTCAACATTTTGAGGAACCTCCTTGCTGTTTTCCAGAGTGGTTGCACCAGCTCGCATTCCCACCAACAGTGTAGGAGGGTTCCCCTTTCTCCGCATCCTCGCCAGCATCTGTCATTTCCTGACTTGTTAATTTTAGCCATTCTGACTGGTGTGAGGTGATATCTTATTGTGGTTTTGATTTGTATTTCCGTGATGCTGAGTGATATGGAGCACTTTTTCATGTGTCTGTTGGCCATCTGGATGTCTTCTTTGCAGAAATGTCTACTCAGAGTAATTCTTAAGAGAATTCAACCTACCCAATAATAAAAAAAACTTTAGGATTTTTTAAAAAGATTTTATTTATTTATTTGACAGACAGATCACAAGTAGGCAGAGAGGCAGGCAGAGAGAGAGGAAGAGAAGCAGGCTCCCTGCTGAGCAGAGAGCCCGACATGGGGCTTGATCCCAGCACCCTGGGATCATGACCTGAGCGGAAGGCAGAGATTTTAACCCATTGAGCCATCCAGGTGCCCCTCATTTAGGGTTCTTAAGTGAACAAGTCATCACTGAACTAATGAAATATAGTTGATTTATTATTATCACTATTACTATTACCATTATTACTAAAATACACAGGAACTTCTTTATTATTTTAGAAAAAAAGTTTCAGAATACAGAAGTTCTAAAAATGAAACAAAAACAGTTGCTAATCACTTGACATGATTGTAAAAGTATGTGGTCAAGTGGAGGGTGAGAGTGGGCATGCGGCACCCCATGGCCCTCTCTACTCCAGGACTCAGCTCCTCTCAAAGTTAATTGTGGAATATATTCATTGTGAGGGGGAGTGATTGATGGTGAAATTAACCAAACAGCCAAAGTAGTGAAATATTCTGCATCCAGGTAGTTTGCAATGAATTAACGACCTTTTCCTCTCAAATGCCATATTAAAATTAAATTTATGCATCCTAAGAAATACATACAGTGAGTCTATAAATACATGGTTGTTCATATATTTTGAGCAGATATACCAGTATTGTCAGAGTAAGACTTTGTTGAACTGGAAATCACTTATCCAGCAATCTCTACTTCATGAGACACAGCCAAGAAAAGAGAAAATAAACTAAAAATGAAGAAGGGAGCATAGGGAGTGGGAAAACTATATAGTTATGGACATTGCAAAGTATCTACTATGTGCTGGGAACTAGACTACTAGGCATTTCTATGTTTTATCTAACAGGCATTTCAGAGTCACCAAAATGGATAATGTAGAGTCTACACACTAAAGCTAACATGTGTTATTTTCAAGAAGGCCCTTAATGAGTATTTTCATTTATTTTAGGTACATGTAAACACCTTTGCTGTTCTGATTTCTCATCAACATCAGACTAGAAAAACAGAAGCTCACTAAGGCAAGAATTCTTGCAAGAGAAGGAACTGATAATCCATAGCAAGGGAAAGAAAAGAAAATAAGAAACACATGTAAGAACTTTCAAAGCAGCATCATCCAAGACCCTACTGTGCAGGAAGCAATGCCCATGACATCCCCATCCCAGGAAACACGTTCCTAGTCCTGTCTTATGCCCTGAGGCCTTGCAAGTTCCATTACAAAGGCAACTGAGTATGTAATATAGTTTGGAAAGATTTTCATCAGAATATCCAAAAAATAAAAAAGTAAGTCCTTAGGCAAATAACACATAAATAACAGATGACAGACTAATAACTATGAGGTAGCTTTGACCAGCTCAGAACTAAACTAGCTAATGACTTCTGAAATTACTCGATAAAGGTATTTTCATGACCCTACAATATACATTTTTTATAGCTACATAAATTATTTCCAACTACTTAAAATTTTGGCCATACTTGTCTTGCAAAAAAAAGTCATCATTTAGACATGAATCATTAATACTTTCCATTAATTGAATATTAAAAACCTTGAGAGCTAGATTGGTTTTTAACTTCTGTTCATTACAGCCTCTAATTTTTTAATAATATTGTTATAGATCACATACCCTGTTTCTGACATTCTGCTAGAGTTGTCCAACCTTAACTAAAGAAGTAGACCTATAAGCTTATTTTCTAGATTTTATGATGTCTATTTACTGTTTGTTTTGTTTTTGTTGTGTATTTACTCTTATGTAGTGTGTACTCTAAAAATAAAATACAATATATTTTATAAAAAAATTCTGCATCTTGGGGCACCTGGGTGACTCGGTTGGTGAAGCATCCAACTCTTGATCTCAGCCAGGTCTTGATCTTAGGGTGGGGAGTTCAAGTCCTGCTTTGGGCTCCCAGCATGGGTCCCTCTTTAAAAAAAATATTCTGGACCCCAACAAAATATTATACTTCTTAGTGACTGGTTAAGGGACACTTACTAGTTTTCATTTTATTTCTTCTTGAAAAATAAATACCTCAAAGATGGAGTAATTAGGGAGGATTTTCTGGCTCTTTGATGTACTATTTTAAACCCATTCTGCCTTACTAGTGAACTAGGAACATCTCAGTATGGTGGTCAGAAGCAAACAATGCCAACAAAGAATACATTCCAAGAGGAGATATAACCATCCTTTTTATTCAGCCATACCAATATGAATCTGATATTTTATTATCTTCTAAACACTGAAGACCACAGGGTCTTATTCCTGAAAGAAGTGAACCAGAGAACATGGGATGCATCAGAACAGGCCCACATACATTGTTTGGGTGGACAAGATCAAATTAGAAGTACTCAGAGCTTCTTTGGAAGTATACTTCAGATCAGAACACTTCCTGTCAGTCACAGATTTTAACTCTCCAATTTGTGGCATCCAGTTTGGAAACAGATTTTCTACTGCTTTTATCAGAACAAACCATCCAAGATATCTATCTCAACTTCCTAATGAGAAATCAGACATTTTCTAGAAGCCACTCATCGGAAGATCTTTCGGTGGCCATCAGGCCCTCTGCTTATGTGCCCTTTCTCTTTGTATCCTGCTCAAAGTCTCACTGTCCATTCCCTTGCATCTTCAATATTTATAGAATGGTCACAGATGCCATGGATCCTGACTGTGTCCCCATATACTTTGCCTTATTTTTCAGAATGTTAATATTGATCATATTTTGATTACTGTGCTGTTCCTTTTATAAGTTCCATTTTTTTGCGGTGTCCAAACCAAGATAACATGGGCATGTCACCAGCTACCAAGACCTTTGAGACAGGAGTGCAAAGTGAGCCACTTGGATAAAAGCATATCAACGTGAAAGATCTAAAGGATAAACTGGACATTCAAAAATTGTATTTTGAGAAAGATGATCTCAGTCAAATCTAATTTTCCTTGAAAATCACATAACTGACTTTAATAATAGAGTGTATTTGTAAAGCAAAATATATTTTATTAAAACATCTGTCCTAATCTGTGCTTAACCAGTACTTTTAAGATAAAATGTATGACTATACCACTGGATTTCTTATTGAAAATTACACCAATCTCTTTTAACTCTGGACTCTTAAGAGTCTGCGGCTTCTGCACACAAAATGTGATATGGCCATGTTAGTTATATTATTATAGCTAATCATAGTCATTGTTCAAAGTTTAGAGTCATACAATCAGTATTTTACTTAATTCTGTAGTTAGCAGAAGTCTTGGATAAGAAAATTCAGAAGTTTGGAAGGACCGCAAGAGCAATGGTCCAGTACCCATTCTCAGTCACAGAAAAGAAAAACAGTGGTCTGAAGAAGAGATGAGGTGATGTGCCCAAGCTCTACAGCTTGCTGACTGGTAAAGTCATAATTCCAACCTGGGGAACTTTAACCAGGGCATTTTCACTACTTTAAATATGATCTTAATTTTCATGTTGTTCCAATCCTTTTGACTCGTTTTCCTTTCCATTTTACGGTCTCTCATTTTAGAGAAGATACCTGTTCTTTTTCTCGATTTATCCCTCTCTGGGGAATCTCCTAGATCTGGGTTTGCGCTGAACTATGGCCTCTGCACTTCTATATACATATGCATACATGGGTATGCGTGCATGTGCGCGCGTGCACACACACACACACACACACACACACTTTCCCTTCCCTCTCAGGACCCTCCATTTTCCAGATGGCTGGGCGAGTTAAGGATGCATCCAATGTACTCATGGAAAAGCAGAATACCAAAAGCTTAGGGCTCCTAGTAAGTTTTCATCACCTCAGTATTTATGAATGCTCTAATCTAGAAAATACAGCAAGTCCATAAATAATGAGATTACAGAATCTTACCATCAGAATCAGTCTTAGAGATGCTAAGGTCCAGGAATGTTGTGATTTGCCCTGTATCACATAGCAAGCTAGTAATTAGTGGCAGCTGGCCTTGTTGCCAATTATTTACTCCAACATAGGAAGTGAGATTTTAAAAATAGTAAAATGGGACCTTGTGCATTTCTTTCTTGCCATGAAAGGACACAGCTGTTTGTTTACAGCGTGTTCATTGTTGAATAATGTGTGGTTAATGAAATTATTTTCACTCATGACTTGATTACCTATTTCCTTTATAACTATGGATTTTATAGCATCCACAGCTTTTTTATTAAATATATGAAATTTGTTTTACAGCTCTATGAGAAAGTTGCACTTCTTCTGACAAATTTAGGTAAGTGAGACCTTTTTATTTCATAGCACAATATTGCAGTTTGGGAAGTATCTTTTCAAAGACTGATTTCCAAAACAATGCTGAAGAGAAATATTCTTTTTGTTTTGAATTGCATACAGTAATTCGCTCTTTGCCTTCAACAGGGCATTTTAAATATGTCTAGTAATTGGGGAGTCATTTCTTTTTTTTAAACATCTTTATTTTTTTCTGTGTTCCAAGGTTCATTGTTTATGCTCCATGCCCAGTGCTCCATGCAATATGTGGCCTTCCTTAATACCTACCACCAGGATCGTCCCATCCTCCCATCCCCCTCCCCTCCAAAACCCTTAGTTTGTTTCTCATAGTCCACAGTCTCTCATGCTTCATCTCCCTGACCAATTTACCCCACTTTACTTCTCCTTTCCTTCTCCTAATATCCTCCATGTTATTCCTTATGCTCCACAAGTAAGTGAAGGGGAGTCATTTCTACTTAAAGCTTTAAAACCTGTCATAAACATTATCTATCATGGGCTAATGTAATTTGAAACAGGTTTTCTCTTAATGCACAAAAAAATATAGCATCATAAAAGTAGTAAAGTGCCCAGAATCATTGAAAAAAAGTGTTCATTTGTTTTGCTTACAATTTTTATTTAAAAATGTGTCAGGCTTTTGTGGTGTATCTAAACCACAGCAAGATGAGTTGCTTTGAAGACTGGGGGCCTTCCACCACAAATGTAGGTGGCCTAATCATTACTTATATTTATAGAAATAACAATCATCTGGATAAGTCACCCCTAAAGGTAACATTTCTCTGAACCCATAAAACAGACCAATCTGGTAACTAACTATACACTGTACATTTTCCATGTTTTCAAGATAAAGAAATTGTCCCAATTTTATTAATGAGACATTGGTCATTTTACTCTATGCAATTTGAGAAAATTACATACTCCCACATATAAACCTATTTTAGCACATTCCCATATGTAGCTTGTCAGGGGGGGGATCAAAAAAGTGCTTTTATTTATAATCATTATAATACAAGATGACATTTATTGAGCCTTCCTATGTGCCAGATACAGAGCTAGATACCTGGTATATCTCCTTTAATGTCATTAAAATCCTCCATCATTACCATCCTTTGCCCAGAAACATAGAAAGAAGTTTATATCCACTAAAGAGGTAAGTACATTGGCAGATTGTGTCCAGTGGCCCCTTGATCCAGGCTGGCAAAGACGCCAGGGAGATACAGCCCTGGCCCTTCTGTGGTTGGGACACCTGGGCACCCACCCAGCTGGCTAACAACCTGGGAGACCTTCCTATGTAACCAATAGTTCAGGAGCAGAAGTGAAGTAAAGATAAAAACCCTTTTAAAATCCTTTGTCTTCTCTTTCCTCAACAGCAGTACAGCCTTGTTAAATATGATTCTCCTCCCCCTTCTCAGATATGCTCTCAGCAAGCATTTTGAGGAATTAGTGGAAAAGGAATTGATGGGGTGAAATGGCAAAGAGCAATTAGAAGCAGGGAATATGGAAACATAGAAAGTACAATGGAATTAAACATATTCTCGCTGACATTACTTGGGATGAGGATGCAGCTCCTAGGGAAGGATAGGTGCATTTGACATGAGATGTCAAGTTGGAAGTCTGATTCACATTTTGATTCATATCACAGTGTCCAAAGAGCACTTGCTTTACAGAAGTCAAATATAAGGAGATGAGAATTGGCACCTGACTGAGGTCAGAATACTGTAAGATGTAAATGGTGATATTCAGTAAAAGCTCTTAAATGAGGTCATCTCCTTGGTATTTGTCCATGAGAAAGAAAAATGATGCATGAGGGTGACAGGCAAAGAAGTCAGATACTCACAGCATTCTGAGAGGGGAGGGGGTCTGACTCCCTCTAGTGCAGCAGCACCTGGCATTTCACCACAATAGAATTGAAGACCAAGGAATTAATTAGGAGATGGGAGGGGACCTGACTCCACACCCTACCCCACAGACAGAAACTAAGAGCAAAAGGGAATGAGGCTCCTTCAGCCCTAGCTTTCTCTACTCTAGGCTCTCTGCACCCTGTCACAGCAGAACAAACTGGATATTCCATCCCCTCAGATAGGTCAGTAGCTCCTTCCCACCACACCCTGGTTGGGGCTGGTCTGCAAGCTTGAGGATCTCATGGGTGTTCTATTCCATCACCCACCATCTATAGGAAAACTGGGGTCTCCTGAAGCCTTCTCAGGACACCTCTGCTCCTATCCTGTGTGTATAGGGAGTAGGGCAGAGGGAGTTAAGAAGGGGTCAAAGGCAACCTCAAACTCTACTCCCTTTTTGTCCACAGAACAGCCTCGCACAGAGTCCGAGTGGGAGAACAGCTTCACCCTGAAAATGTTTCTTTTTCAGTTTGTCAATCTGAACAGTTCCACATTTTACATCGCGTTCTTCCTTGGAAGGTAAGGACCTGATCTCTCCACACTTCTGCAGGCCAGGGATAGAGCACTCAGAGGTCACTGACCAGGGTGACAGAGAAGCACCTCCTTTAGAGTAATTTATACAAAGAGTAGAAAGAGATTAGACTCCTCCTTTCCTTTCCTGTTCCCTTCCTAGGGAATGGTCACTACACTCAAAAGTTACCTATGTGCCTTTTCTTGCTAAGGTACATAGAGGAAAAACATTGGCACAAGTGAAGGATGGATTTAAAACTTGTGGGCTCCATCCGCACCTGAGTCAGGCCTCCAGATCTCACACCTTTATGAGCAGTTGACCTAAGAGGTGGTGGAGAGGGTGGAGAGGGTGGTCTGTAGCGTGTCCTGGATGCCCACCTTCATAGAAGAGGGAAGGACATCCAAACAGGAGAGGGGGTGACATAGGATGCCAGAGGAGAGTGGACAACTTCTGAATCCAGCAGTTATGAGGATTTGCAAAGGTTCCTGTCTTAAGTAGTCACGTCCTATGAACTCTTTTGTGCCAGGAAATAGTCTCTGAAGAGAGAAAAACCAGAGACAGGTGAGTGTTGGATTTGGGTGGGATGGGTATAGCACTTCTCAGTATCGAGCTACTTCAGTGTGGAATTCTAGTCAAACAGTAAAGCTCGTTATTTTTTTCAATTTAAGTTTCTATTCAAAAAGATCAGAATCTGTTTCAATCCAACATGCTGTTTGTTATATAGGCCAGAGTGATTGATATTTAGCAGAAAATGTTCAAAGTCACACAGAGCAGCAAGAGCTGGCCTCTGTGGTCAGCAGCCAGACAGTCCAGAAGGGAAATATTCCCTGGAAAATTCTAGAAGTTGCAGTCATGGCAGCTCTGGAGAGTTTCCTAATTCTCTCAGACCTGAGCATACCAGTAATTTTCATTGGAGATGGGCTAATCTGAACACAATAATCACATTAGACCTATAGGGTGCTAATGGTTTGTTTTTCTGTGTGTTGAAGATTTACAGGACACCCAGGTGCCTACTTGAGACTGATAAACAGATGGAGACTAGAAGAGGTCTGTATTCTTCCATCACTCCTTATTTCCTACAGTCTTATATTAAATATAATATATTTATTATATTTATTATATATAGGGCAACTTTGTGCAGATTAGAAACCAAACACTCTTTCTTCCCTGCCATTGATTCTGGAATTTCTGTGTTTGCTTACCTCGCAGTGCCATCCTAGTGGATGCCTTATTGATCTCTGTATGCAAATGGGTATTATAATGGTGCTAAAGCAGACATGGAATAATTTCATGGAACTTGGCTACCCGTAAGTACCTTAGATTTCTACAGTTGAGTGGGAGCATTGCTCATTATTGGCTTTTCTAGGTGTGGCAAGTAAGATAAGCAGTGCAGACTCAGCCGTGCTTATACCTGGAGCTAAGTGTTCATGCTCAGTTCATGAATATTCTTTAAAAAGTCTCTGTGGGGCCCTAAACATTGAACACTTGCTTGCAGCTCCTTTAAATAATGCTTCTGACCCTCATGCTGTAGCATTTCAAGGCTCTCACCAGTTACGACCCATTAACTAGAGCTCTACTCCCCCACCCCCATGGTAAATCAGGAATGGTAATTTTTTCAAACTACCTTAAATTCAAACTGTATAGAAAAGGAACTTATAGAAAAGAGAAAAGTTTAGGGATGCAGAAAAGAAACTGGAATATTTCTAAGTCAATATATCTTGACAAGTAAAAATAGGATCACCTGGTGGTAATAGTAGATGTTGATAACAATAGACAAAAACTTGCATCACTTTTGTAAGGATATCCTTGAATTCTGCTATGTTTGCTCAGCTCTGGTCAGCTAAGTTTTAAGGGAACGTAAATCAACAACTCCTATTTCTGCTTTAATTCCATACCTACTGATTTCCATGTCAGCTTGGTGTCTCCATAGAGAACTCCAGGTTTCAAGGAGGACCACTCAGCCAGAACAATTAGCTAGAACTTGGATCACTTCAAAAAAGTCACTTCTTGGCTCTTAGTCAGAACCTATGCCAGTAATTTTCTATTCTTAGATTTTTAGAAAATTTATTCCAAGTGCTTGATTTTGTCTGTAAAACTTTTTAAAGTGCATAAAATTTAAAAATTAGCAGCATTATATGCTACTTTAAAGTATAAAACATAGTTTATCAAAATGTCACACATCAATGGAACTATATTTTATCTTCTAGTAGTATGGACAGAGAGCAAAACTGCAAAGTAGGTCGTTTGTTTTTGATACCCATCCCATTATTTCCTTTATTTTGCCATTTGTTTTGGGGTTTTCCTGGCGTGTGTACTCTTGGATACCCCTCCATTTTTCCTTGTCCCCTATAGTACACAGACCTGGCCCTTGCCCCCACTTTCTCAACCCTGTTCCATTTCATAAGATGCTCTCCTGAACATTACTAAGGATTAATGTGCTAATCTCATCAGTGTGAGATGTATTTTACTGGGAATCAGAGTCTTTGTTGAGCTCAAGCTAAAAGCAAGCAAGTCCAGTTGTGGTTGTGCAAGCTTCCGTGTGCTAAGAGGGGAAGCATCTAATGGGTCTGTAGAGCCTCCAGGCCCTCAGAATATGTAGGTCAGCACTTACATGATTAAGATTGCCCATGCGTCCTAAATTAAATCAGCTAAGCCAAACCTTCCTCTACTCTGAGGTCTGGGTGTTGCCTTGGTGCTAGAAGAAAAGTTTATAGATGTTGTCCTCCATCCTACCCTGAGGCAACACCGAACATGAGATAATTTCATGAATAGTTAAAAAGTCATTCTGTTCATTTGCAAGTGCAAATGCATGAAGTACAGTCATTGATACAATCTTCCTAATCCAAGGTTTTATTTCCTTGGCAGCTGATCCTAAATGTTTTTAAACTATGGTTCTGTATTTGAAGTCTGTCTTATTGCTTAAGTCTTATGAACAGTCATATATTTTTTTAAAGGAATTGATCTTGTTGTGCAGGTTAATTCAGAATTGGTGGACCAGAAGAAAAGTACGACAAGAACGTGGATCCGAAAGAAAAATAAGTTTCCCACAGTGGGAAAAGGACTACAACCTTCAGCCCATGAATGCCTATGGACTCTTCGATGAATACTTAGAAATGAGTATGCAAATATCCTATTTTATCCTATTAATTCTAAATGCCAATTCTAGAACTCAAGCTGTATTCAGCTGGACAGGCATCCTCTATCATTGAGGCCAGCCATGTGGGGGAATTCTCCAGCTGAATGCAGAGGAGGGGAGTTTCTTGCTTTAAGAAGCTCAGTCCATAGAGATGGTATCAAAAGCCTAGGCACTTTGAACTCTTCATGACATTGTGCCCTTTCCCTTGTAATTAATCACCAGGAAACAAAAATGATTTGGAAAACTTGGTGAACCAAAGAAAAGGGAGTTACCATGGCATGATTGATTCCCTCATTTAGCAGACTTGTATTGAGCCATGTTATGTCCAGGCAGATACTATGCTTGCCACAAGAGCTACAAGAAGGAATAAGGCACAGTCCCGGCTTTCAAAGAGTACATGGGCTAGTGGGGTAAAGCCAGAGATATAAAGTGCCCCAGATGCTGTAGGATGCATCAGTAGAGGGGATCAGGGGAGCAGCCATTTCTCTTGGGGAGGATGGCAGGAAGCTGGAAATGCTTAAGCTATGTTCCACTTATATTTAAGGACTTAAATTTGTCTATTAATCAAACCCAAGTTATCTTGTATGTTGTACATGTACCCAAGCATGTATTCAAGAGCATGGGCTATGGAACCAGATTACCTGGGTTCAAATCCTAGCCCTATCACTTATTAACTATGAAACTTGGACAGTTAATCTCTGTCTCAATTTTTCACCTCTAAAGTGGGGAAAATAATGAGAGTAACCACTTCATAAGGTCCTTGTGTGGATTAAATGATTTAATCAATGGAAAGCGTTTAGAACAAGGACTGGGCTCATAGGATACACTTGGTACATGTTATTTGTATTATCGTTATTATTTTCCTGTTCTTATCTCCCAGGGGAGAAAAGCTAACAAATTTGCTTAGCAAATATATTGAGTGTATATGAGTTGTTGTTTTGGTTTTTTTTTCCAATTATGTTTAAGCTCTTTAACATTGGGGTAAAAGTGGGGTAGGGATGAGCAAGATGCATTACTTCTGAAAGAAGCAGTTCTTTCTGGGAAAATCTGAAAATTAAAGGAGAAGTAGAAGTGATGCTTAATGTTCTTAGATTGCTTATATCTTAAGTATCTGCTGATGTTTTTGGAGTTTCAATTATAGAATGGCAGGATAATATAACTTAGAGGAAAAAAATCAATGTAGGCATTAATAATAAAACTTAATAAAGGGAATTCATTAAGAGAACTAACAATTTTGAGGTCTCTTAATAGACTTTTCTCCCATAAAGAAGGAAATGAACAATAATGTTGGTATATTGAGTGCTTGAAAAGAAGCTTTTATGTGGTTAGAATTAGTAGTGCTCCAAATACTGCAGTATCTGCAGCAAGAAACAAATCTCAGAAACATCACAAGCAGACTAGTGAACCCTGTTTCCTTTCATTCTTCTCATTTTATTTTCTTAATGAGTTCCCTGCTTTGTTATTTATATTTGTAATGTAATCGTTGAAGTATGATAGTGCAGAAAGTATATAAATAAGTGTACAGATCAATAAATTTTCACATATTTACCAATCTATGTAGGTGAGAATTTTGCAAACTACAGTGCTCAGGTCAAGTTGAGTTCATTGTCTGTTTTTATAAATAAGGTTTTATTGGTTCACAGCAATAACCAATTATTTATATATTATCTATTGCTGGTTTTACACAATAATATAGTTGAATAGTTTTGGCAGAGACTGGTCTACCAAGCCTATAATATTTACTGTCTGACTCCTTAAAGAAAATGTTTGCCTTTCTGGATGGTCAATCAAGAAATAGGATATCTAAGAATCCTTATCTATCAAAGAAGATTCTTTGACTCAAAGAAGGCTCTTTGTTTTCTCTCCAAGTCCTAACATCCTCACTAATCATGCTACTGATTTCTAACACCATAGATTAATTTTTCCCCTTTTTTATCTCCATGTGAGTGAAATTGTACAATACATACTGTTTTATAACTGGCTTCTTTCACTAAATATCATATTCATAAGATTCTTCTACACATAGTAAACTTTATTTTCATTGCCATATAGTATTCCTAGAATGTATACCTGTAGCAAAATTATGAAGCTGGTGGGGTTTCTCTTTTAGTATATGTGCTGTTGAAGCGAGCACTGGAGTTTCTCTTTGATACTGATCTCCATCTTGCAAATGTGGTTGTTGTTGTTGTTGTTGTGTGTGTGTGTGTGTGTGTGTGTGTGTGTGGTGTGTGTGGTGTGTTTTGCATTTCTACTCCCAGATACTCTCCAACTTTCTCTTCTTCTCCCCGCAACACACAGACCCCACCACCACCAATCCTTCAGTCCTCCCTCATATCATAAAATGCACCTCATGAGTATGAAACTTCATGAGCACTCTTAAGGATAAATGTGCTAGATAAATGCTCTTTAATAGGAATCAATGCCTCTGTCAAGCTTGAGTCCAAAAAAAAGGCAAATGGAAATGCAGAGGTTTTATTGGTTTACTTGTGGAAATGCAGAGGTCAGTGGGCCAACAGATGAACTATTTTGTGAGTCTACAGGTCTTCTAGGCTCCTGAAAATAGGTATGTGTCATTATTTATCTATCCATTCTACGGGTGATAGACATGTGGCTTATTTCCAGGTTTGGGCTTTGACAAATAGTATTGTGAACATTTTTTACATGTGATTTGGTTAACATATATGCATATATCAGAAGGGAACTTATGGAGGGGTGGACTTAGTAGGCCATAAGATAGGCATTTGTTGATCTTCAGATACTTTCAGTTTTCAAAACTGGGTTGTACCAGTTTACACTCCAACCAGCAATCTTAGAACTTCAGTTAATTCCAAATACTCACTGAAACTTGTTAGGTCTTTGCAAATTTTAGCCACTCTGGTTGGTACATAGTAGTATCTCATGATTTTAATTTGAAATTTCATGGCAACTAGTAATGCTCAGCACCTTTTCATATGGTTATGGCCATAAGGCTATTTGATGTTTTTGTCAATTCCCATTTAAATCCATGTTCTTGTTTTGTTTGTTTCTTTTTTTAGTGATTTGTAGAGGTCATTTACCTATTTTGGATATGAGTCCTTTATCCAATAGCTATGCTGCAAATTAAATATCCTTTCCTGGTTGGCTGCTTGATGTCTTACTCTTTTATTCACTTTAATACACCAACGTAAAGTTTCAACTTTATTCTTCAGAATTGGTTCCCTATAACTTTTGGAATCAGATTTCTAATTTCTATACATAGCTCACTTTTCTATTGGGATTTTCTTTTCTCCTTGATTTTTTTAAGACTATTTTTTTAAAAGCAGTTTTAGGTTTACCACAAAATGGAGAAGATCTAGGATTTCCCATATGCCTCCTATCTTCACACATGCATAGCTTCCCCATTATCAACATCATTCACTAGAATGGCACTTTTTTTTTTTTTGGCTGTGTTCCAATTAAACTTTATTGACAAAATCAGGTAGTATGCCAGCTTCTCTAGACCACTGCCATATATGGTCTCTCAAAAGATGTCTGCCAGCTGAAGATAACAGCAGAGAGCTGTCAAGACTGATTTAGGTCACAGAATGTCAGCCGGGGCATAGCCTTAGAGAAGTCACCCCTACCCATAAGCAGGCCAACCCCTATCTAGTCGTCAAACCACCCCTCTCCTCCCCAAGGGTCCAAGCCACGGTGTTTGCAAAGCTGTGGCAGGTGAGGTGGCGAGAAGCTAATCCAGGATGGAGAAGTTTCGTTTGATTTCTCTCTAAGTATGTTTGAATTATTAAGTGTCTTGCTCATTAAGTGAAGGATGCTGTTACAATTCTATCACTGAAGACAAAATTGGAATGGTACATTTTTTTAAAATCAAGGATAAATTTACATTAACACATAATCACCTGAAGTCCAGAGTTTACTTCGCACTTGGTGTTTTACATCCTGTGGGTTTGGACAAATGTATAAAGACATATATCTATCCTTATAATATTAAATGAAGTATTTTCACTGTTCTAAAAAGCCTCTGTGCTCTGCCTACTCATTTTCCCCCCAATCTTGCCATGTTCATACCTTTTGTCAGGTTAAAGCAGTTTCCTTATATCCCTAGATTGCTGAGAGTCATCATGAAATATAATTAAATTTTATCAAATCATTTTTCTAAGTCTACTAAAATGTGAGTTTTTCTTTATTAAATGTGGTGAATTTCATTGATGATTTTGTTGTTGTTGTTAACATTGTTACAACTTGGGGGAAAAAACTCACTTGGTCATGATACTTTTTTATTCTTTAATTGCCAAATTTAACTTGCTAATATCTGTGTATAAGTTCATGAAACATATTCTACTACAATATTTCTCTTTTGTAATATTTCTTTCAGGGTTTGGTGTCGTTGCTATGATGACCTCTGATTTGGATAATTTTCCCCTCTGTTTCTCTTCTCTTAAACTGTTTATGTAACATTATTATTTCTTACATACATATTTGGAAGAACTTAGTGAGGTTGGTTACACCTCAAATTTTCTTTGTGGGAAGACTTCTAACTGTAGATTTAATGTATTTAATAGATATAGGACTATTTAGATTTTCTGTTTCTTCTTGTATCCTTTTGATAGCTGGTTTTTAATTGTGTTTTTCAAGAAATTTATCCATTTTGTCTAATGTTGAAATTTAGTGCAATAAAATTGTTTATAATACCCTTCTATTAACTTGTTATATGTATAAGGTCTGTAATAATATACTTTTTCATGAATAATTCAATAGTTAGTGCTTTTCTCTTTAACAGTGTGGCAAGAAATTTATTAATCTTTTCCAAAAAAATAGAAATTATGTTTTTTAAATTATTTTTCTCTATTATACATTTGCCTCCTATTTCATTCTTCTTTTATCTTTGTTTCCTTTCTTATGTGTTCTTTGGCCTAATTTTCTCTTTTCCCAACATTTTAAGAAAGAAACCTAAATTACTGATTTTCAGCTTTTCTTCTTACCCAATATAGGCATTAGAGCTGTA